GTGCACTTTTCGCCAGCAGATTTCTTGTCTAAACATTTTTTCATTCCTATATGTTTTCGTCTGGGCATTTTTTTCATCTTGACATTTTTGTCTACTTTTTTGGAACACCACCTTGAGCAATTCCTTGTCCAAACACGTAAAAAAAAAACGAAAAATGGTAAAGGGAAACATTGGGTGGATGGTGAATAGACAAAAAGCAAAATGGTCAGAACAACCTTACCTACCATTTTTGGGGGGAATAAGGAAAAAGTTAATTCCATGAAATGGATTGCAAGCAATGGTAAGCCAAGTATTTTTAGGTTATGTGAATATCAATCAGGCTTCAGGCCCAGGCTTCAGGCAGGTCTGAAGCCAGATACATAACCATTTAAATATTTGACTAACCATTGTCTGCAATCTCTCCTAAGGCATTGCCTTTAGCACTGCTCTGCTTCACCACTAGTATTATTATGTCACTTGTCTCACAGTTGAATGACATCATAATATGTTTTCCCTCAACCTTGGGAGTTGTAATAGTGGGTACAGAGACATAAATTGTATTGGACGAAAATTCGTACGCACCAAAAAATACAGGCAATGATGTCGGACGAAAAATGCACACACAAAAAGATGCAGACAAAAAATCGGTATTGTTATAGCAGGCGTCTCACATGCTGCCACCGGTTTGGGAAAAGTCGCTAGATTCGTCAGGTCTAGAGATATTTCCACCAAGTCGCTATATTGGGTAATCACATAGCGGTGATTTCAAAAACGGAGTCAGTTTTTTTTTTCTGAGCTGGCGGGGGGGGGGGGGGGCGTTTGGGGGGATTGCCCCCCTTGCCGATAGCTCGGGAACGGCTGATCGGAGCCAGGCTTGCAAGGCGGCGTTGGAAAGCGGTCGAGTAGACAAGCCTAATTAGTAATGCAAACTATCATCGGGATACGGGGGGGGGGGGCGTAGGGGGGATTGCCCCCCTTGCCGATAGCTCGGGAACGGCTGATCGGAGCCAGGCTTGCAAGGCGGCGTTGGAAAGCGGTTGAGTAGACAAGCCTAATTAGTAATACAAACTATCATCGGGATACGGGGGGGGGGGCGTAGGGGGGATTGCCCCCCTTGCCGATAGCTCCGGAACGGCTGATCGGAGCCAGGCTTGCAATGCGGCGTTGGAAAGCGGTCGAGTAGACAAGCCTAATTAGTAATGCAAACTATCATCGGGATACGGGGGGGGCGTAGGGGGGATTGCCCCCCTTGCCGATAGCTCGGGAACGGCTGATCGGAGCCAGGCTTGCAAGGCGGCGTTGGAAAGCGGTCGAGTAGACAAGCCTAATTAGTAATGCAAACTATCATCAGGATACGGGGGGTGGGCCTTGCAAGCCTGGCTCCGATCAGCCGTTCCCGAGCTATCGGTCAGGGGGGCAATCCCCCCAAACGCACCCCCCCCCCCCCCTAGTATCCCGATGATAGTGACTTGTCTACTCGAACGCTTTCCAACACCGCCTTGCAAGCCTGGCCCCGATCAGCCGTTCCCGAGCTATCGGTCAAGGGCAACCCCCCCCCCACACACACACCCCCCCCCCAGTATCCCGATGATAGTATGCATTATTAATTAAGTAATTAGGCTTGTCTACTCGACCGCTTTCCAACGCCGCCTTGCAAGCCTGGCTCCGATCAGCCGTTCCCGAGCTATCGGCAAGGGGGGCAATCCCCCCCCCCCTACGCCCCCCCAGTATCCCGATGATAGTTTGCGTTACTAATTAGGCTTGTCTACTCGACCGCTTTCCAACGCCGTCTTGCAAGCCTGGCTCCGATCAGCCGTTCCCGAGCTATCGGCAAGGGGGGCAATCCCCCCTACGCCCCCCCCCCCCCCAGTATCCCGATGATAGTTTGCGTTACTAATTAGGCTTGTCTACTCGACCGCTTTCCAACGCCGTCTTGCAAGCCTGGCTCAGATCAGCGGTTCCCGAGCTATCGACAAGGGGGGCAATCCCCCCCAAACGCCCCCCCGCCAGCTCAGAAAAAAAACTGACTCCGTTTTTGAAATCACCGCTATGTGATAACCCTATATAGCGACTTGGTAGAAATATCTCTAGACCTGACGAATCTAGCGACTTTTCCCAAACCGGTGGCAGCCAGACTGCAAAGTATGGCAATTTCGACGAGATCTCGTCGGTGCGGGCTTGTTCGGCTGGTGCGGATTTTGGAGTGGTGCGGTGCGGATTTTGCCTGGTGCGGTGCGGATTTGGCTTGGACCTTGATGCGGTGCGGACTTCGCTTGGTCTTCTTACCCGGCCGGGTTTCCTTGTTGACGTTCTTTGGAAAGCCCTACAAATGCGTGCCAGCCACGGTGACGGAGAAAGGTTTTAAATTTACTCTACGAACTAACAATTGCGGCAGAACAAATCCATTCTCGCCTCGGAAATTAACGTGATGACGACGTCATTAGAACGAAGACTGGTTGCGGTGGTGACTGGTATGTCACATTTGCGAGCAGCTGGTTTGAATTAACAATCAGCACGCTGCTTTGGAATGACGTCATTAGTTTTACTCATACGAATGTTTGCTGGGGCGATTTTATCAAGGCTCGTCAAATTCACACGTGACATTTAGCATGTAGAAGGCCCACAGAGAGGGGAGAAGTTCCGAATGTCACGTGACCCAATATGCCCTCCGGCGCCCTGTTGACACCGGCGTCCGTCTATTTGCTCTATTTCAAACTTCCGGTACAAGTGCGCGGCGCGGTCCCGTGGTGAGCGTTGCTCGTGAAACTGAAATTGGAGGGGAAATAATTATAGTGAGATAAATGAAGTCCCTTGCATTATAATTGCCTGTGGGTTCGGTGCGGATATTTTGGGCTCTCGGCTCGCTTTGGTGCAGATTTTCCGGCTCAGTTTGAAGGGTTGGTGCGGATTTTGAACTTGGTCCGGTGCGCCTCGTCGACCTGCGTGGCCCCAGACTGCAAAGTATGGCACGCAGGTCGACGAGGCGCACCGGCCCAAGTTCAAAATCCGCACCAACCCTTCAAACTGAGCCGGAAAATCCGCACCAAAGCGGGCTGAGAGCCCAAAAAATCCGCACCAGCACCGAACCCACAGGCAATTATAATGCAAGGGACTTTATTCATCTCACTATAATTATTTCCCGTCCAATTTCAGTTTCACTTACCGCTTGAGCAACGCTCACCACGGGACCGCGCCGTGCACTTGTACCGTAAGTTTGAAATAGAGCAAATAGACTGACGCCGGTGAAAATACGGCGCCGGAGGGCATATTGGGTCATGTGACATTCGCAACTTCTCCCCCTCTGTGGGCCTTCTATATGCTAAATGTCACGTGTGAATTTCACGAGCCTTGATCCAATAGCCCCAACAAACTTTCGTATGAGTGAAACCAATGACGTCATTCCCAAGTAGCGTGCTGATTGGCAATCCAAATCAGCTGCTCGCTAATGTGACATACCCAAGGCCATCTATAGAAGGTACAGTCACTCCCCCGCCGACCAATCAGAGACAGATCCTGAGTGACGTCACCCCTGATGCTCGAAAGGGGTACTCCATTCCTTTACAACGTAAAAATGACTAACTTCATTTGAAGATTGTTGGTGACACTCTACACATATCGCTCAACCATTGATGTCATTGGAAAGTCCAACTAATTTTCTAGCGATAAAAAAGAGCAGCAATATGCTAAGAAATGGCCGGTTTTGAAGATATAGACGATTTAAAAACCCTCTGAAGTTGCAGGAAAGCAACGTAAAAACGCATCGAGCTTATATTTTTACTATGAATAAATCATTTTTCAGTAAGTTTTTAGATATGGTATCGATTTATACAACAACTTTATTACAATATTTTTATTACTTGGAACTTTATTTCAAAATAATATTTTCAAAAATGGCAACTGTTGGCAAGTAGCTTTGAAGCGATTGTGGCGCGCCGCGCCATTATTGTCCTGAGGCCCCCTTATGATGTCATCAAAAGTGGAGTGACATGGGCCTGGACATACCATTCACCACCGCAACCAGTCTTCGTTCTAATGACGTCGTCATCACGATAATTCCCGAGGCGAGAATGGATTTGTTCTGCCGCAATTGTTAGTTCGTAGAGTAAATTTAAAACCTTGGTCCGTAACCGTGCGTCACCGTGGCTGACACGCATTTGTAGGGCTTTCCAAAGAACAGTCAACAAGGGAACCCGGCCGGGTAAGAAGACCACGCGAAGTCCGCAGTCCGCACCGCACCAAGGTCCAAGCGTTGGTCCAAGCCAAATCCGCACCGCACCAGGCCAGATCCGCACCGCACCACTCCAAAATCCGCACCAGCCGAACAAGCCCGCACCGACGAGATCTCGTCGAAATTGCCATACTTTGCAGTCTGGCTGCGTGCCATACTTTGCAGTCTGGGGTGGCAGTATGTGAGACGCCTGCTATCATAATACCAAAAAATCAAAAATGTGTGAACAAAAATATGCATGGACAAAAGGTTGCGTGCCGAAAAAATGTCAAACGAAAATCTGCAGACGAAAAACTGCCCGACGAAAATGTCCAACCAAATTTGTCCCGACACGTGTTAAAAGATTAAAAGGACGTCAAAGCATACCGTACATTCATGTAACGGTGAATCTGTCACTCGAGCAAAAACATGCCAAGCAGCACAAATACCTGGTTGACAGCTCGAAAATTGCAAGGAAAGCTAGCATACAACCGAAAAATTAAAATATTAAACCCTCACCAAAATCAATTGACACGACGACAGAGAAGATTACAGAGAAAAGAAAATAGAGAAAATACGAGACGGAGAACACAATGGAGTTGTGACAAATGCGCCAGATGCGGCATGTAGTATCTCATGGGCTTAAAATATGAAAAAGTAATTGAAATACCGTATCATTCATCATTGAAAACTTTAGAGTAACTTGACAATAAAAAAAATGTTTGATATTTGTAAAAATTTTATGAGGTTTAAAATCATCTAAACAAATGAACGGAAACTTTCTTTTAATTCTGGGGCAAAGAAGTGAGAGAACAGAGAACAGCATTTACCGTATAATTCGCGAGCCAATGAAAAGGAGTAGCAGCAGCTCTGCGCCAATGGAATAAACCCACGACCGGAATTACTATCAGATTACAAGCATCACATATGTGGATGACAAAAGACGATTATGGTGTAGTACTCCTACTGTGCTGATTGGCCGCGGTCATTTGTGTCAATTTGTGTTGTTTCAGAAGTTTGAGTTGGGGTGGTCGGTGCGGTTCGGAATTCGGAAGACGACATTCTGTTAAAGCGTTCGTTACAAGTTCGCTACGTTCGTTACGATTGCGCTTCTAAGGAGTAGATTTTGCATGTTCGCTATGCTTCATTAGGCAACAATGTTTGATGTTATCTGAGTCCCTATCTGTGGCCTAAAGTCGACACCATTGAAAATCGGACATAGTGAGATAACCAGCAAGTTTTACATGGTTGTTTGTCAATTGAGGTAATTGTACAAAACATGACAGATCTAGCACATCTTCAAGGATATTTGGCATCAATTTGGCTATTTTTCCTTGCTGCAGAAATTCATATAAATGGTAAGTATTGGGAATGGTTCGGAAGCCAGTCAAAGTACTGGTATTTATTTACTTTAGGTCCTAGGTACCTGCTTACCTAGTTAGTATGTAGGTAAGTACTATGTACCTACCTGTCCTGGCTTAGTGAACTGGATCAGCATTCTGATTTGACTATACTATCTCAATTGATATTTAAATGCCATGGATGGTTCAGTTGAGCATAATACTGATATTCTTCCAGGCCTGCTATCTTTGTTTTGTCTGATTTTAATTGTAGTCTACTGACACTTGGCAGTGTATGTGGGTCGTACCAGTTGACAAACTGTGTCAAACTCCACGCATCATCAAATACTTATGCTGTTGCAGATGCCACATCCTCGCTGAGTTCTGCTGACGTGGATCAGCACCTAGAGATGGGGCTGAGGCTGCTGAGTCAGGGACAGCTTCAGGATGCCCTCACACACTTCCATGCTGCCATTGGTGAGAACAGTGGTGCTGAAGGCATGCTTCTCTTATTCTGTAGTTCTGTTAATTAGTTTTATTCACCATTTGTTTGTCCGAATGATGTTGATCTGTTTGTCCCGCTGAGCCATGTGTTCGTTTGTTTGTTCATATGTATGATAGTTTGTCTGTCCTGACATTCTCTTAGCTTGCTGACATGTTTGTCCTTTGGCTTGTCTCTTCGTTCAATGTTATCCGTCCATTGGTCTGCTTTGCCGTCTGTTCATCGGTCCTTCCGTCCGTCCGTACGTCCGTCTTTTCGTTCTTCCGTTCATTGACTGCTTTTTCGTTTGTTTCTATTCTTTTTGCGTCGTCCTGTGGTCGTATGTGTGACGGCGCTCATCCGGTTTCAGACGCCGACCCGCAGAACTACCTGTCGTACTACCGTCGGGCCACCGTGTACCTGGCGCTGGGTAAGGCCAAACAGGCGCTGCCGGACCTCCAGCAGGTGCTCAAGATGAAGCCCGACTTCCTGGCGGTGAGTGTCCTACCCGGTACCCCGCACATCGTATACCCCACTGTACTGTCTGTACCATCTAGACGGTCTACCTGTCTACCGTATACCTGTGCGTAGAGTCCGACTTCCGTTTAAACGTGCGGCGATAGTTGCCAGCTAAGTAGGGACTGAATCATCGTCTGTACATCCGCTAACGTATTGATCGAGATCAATATGAGTACCTTTATTTCAGATCGGTTTTCACTAAGTTTTTTCCGTCATTTAAACTGTTGACGGACTCTGATCCAGCTCTTTTATCGATGTCCGAAGCCTGATGACGTGTTACAGTAGCCAGTTGACATACGATAGGCGATTGTTCTCGATGCTCGGTTCCCAAACGCTAGCGTCGTCAGTCGGTGGTGGCTCATTGCACAGTGGTGCTGAGTCAATCATTTGGTCCACTAAGGAGCAGCGATGATACGGGAATTGCTGACTGGGTTCAGAATGACTGACGCAGGGACGGATCCATTGACGTTATCTCTGCTCGTTTTCAGGCGAGGTTACAGAGGGGCAACGTTCACCTCAAACTGGGAAATCTGGACGAGGCACATATCGACTTTGAGGATGTGGTAAGATAAATGACAATATGCCTGATATGATAAGTGTTTGAACATTTTGAACATTGGTTGTCTTTTTCTGAATGTGTTACATATCACGGCCGGATGTCGACAGTTTTCGAAGTCTGTGAATATTAAATGGTCTAGCTACACTACGTTCGTGACATCCCCAGTGGCAGTCTTTGCCTGAGCGTTGTTTGATTTACGTTTTCTGTATCGTTACCACTTTCCTCCCTCCTCCTCAGCTGCGGCGCGACCCGTCGAACGCCGAGGCGCTGCAGGCGTACTCGACCATCGACCAGGTGCGGGCGGACGTGCGCGAGGCGCAGCAGGCGCTCCACTACGGCGACCACCACACGCACATTGCGCTGCTCTCGCGCGTGCTGGAGGTGTGCTCGTGGTCGGCGCCGCTGCGGCAGCTGCGCGCCGACAGCTACGTGGCCGTGGGTGACCTGATCGCGGCGCTCAGCGACCTGCGCGCCACCACCAAACTGGTGACCGATAACCGGGCCGGTCACCTGCAGATCGCCAAGCTGCACTACCGGCTCGGCGAGGCGCACGAGTCGCTCAGGTGAGAGTCAGGGGCGGACGGTGGGTGACGTGGCCTGTCCAGTGGTTGTACGGTGATTGACGGCTAACTATGGCGACTTAATTTGATAGCCATGAGGTAGCGGAATCGGTTGGGGGCAGACAGATGTCCTGCGGGTCTGATGATACAGCTGGGGTAGTTGCTACGGTCGATCGATGGGCTATGATGGATCGAGGGGATGCGATTGAGGACGAAACGATGCCGTGCAGGATGAATTGTGTCGATAAGGTATGATAATTAGATGGGATAACAAAGTGACGTCGGGCTTATGTAATTACTTCGATGACAGAGTGATTGTCGCGACGGTGCCTAACCGTTCCTACCCGCTCCTCGTCCAGCGAGGTGCGCGAGTGTCTGAAGCTGGATCAGGACGACAAGCAGTGCCACGAACACTACAAGAAGGTGAAGAAGGTGGTGAAGGCGCTGGACAACTCGCAGGAGCACCTGGACCGCGAGGACTTCGCCTCGTGCTCGCGCTCGGCCAGCAAGGTGAGGACATGGGACGCGGGTCTGTCGAAGGTCGTTTGTCTGGCCGGGTGGAACACAGTCCTCATGTCTCCGACTGCAGATCAGTGATCGACAGCATTTAGCTCCTAACGCTTTCGGAGGAGAAGGGGAGGGGGTTGATCGGGAAAATGATGCTGCTGCTGGGTATCTGGTGGATGGTCGTTGTGAAATGTACTATGTAGCACCTCCAGTACAGGATCCTCGAAACTTAAGACAGTTTGCTGGTACTGGACACAGCACTAAAATCGGGTAGGGTCTTTTTCGTGGTGATGCATTCCTTGATCATTTCAGCTCCAGAGAACATTCTATTGATTCGTGAGTTTTTCACAAATGTACGATGCACCGGCTGCAAGAAGCTCCATGTTCGTTTTGTTTCGGTATCCACACAATGTGCCGATGTTTCCTCGTGGGCCCCGCCAGCCGCTGTATTGTCTGTGTCATTCAGTGCGGCCTTGACGGAACCCAGCCGCCGCTGGCCACATTCCAGTCGTGCGCGGCGACCGGTTTGGCCAAAGCTCCTGTCCGGTAGACCAACGACCTCCCCTGGCCCCTCCCCATCTCTGCCCCGCCCTCCTTCCCTCCCGAGCCCGTCCACGACGCGTTCATATACACCGGTCCGTTACCAGAGTACCATCTATTGTTGATTTATTTGGTTGATATTTCACTGACCTCCGGGGATCATGTACGCTGCCTTTTACCGTTAAAATCTGCCGTTAAATGTTAGCTCTGTTGCTAGCGTCATGTATGTTGTCGGCTGTCCTATGCGTAACGTCACGTTGCCATTCAACCAGACTTGCGCTTCCAGTTCCAGCAATATTAATTCCTGCTTGTCCGTATTTTGCTTTTTGTCCTGTCTTGTACTTTTTTGTCTCAGTCTCTTTTTTTCGATCTCTTTTCAGCCTGTCTCCCGCTCCATCCCGTTAATTCTTTCTACCCTTCCTTCACACCCCATTCGTATCGGCCCGCTTCTCTGACACATGGAGCCCGGCTGACTCCCTGTCCCTTTACAGGTACTGGACGCCGAGCCGACAGAGCCGGCGGTGCGGTACCGCGGCCTGGAGCGTATGTGCACGTGCCAGGTGCGAGAGGGCGCCTCAGAGGCCGTCTCCACGTGCACGCGGGCCATAGAGCTGGACAGGGAGCCGCGCATCTACTGCGAGCGAGCTGAGGCCTATCTGAACGACGACCTCTTCGATGAGGCCATTCGAGACTACCAGCAGGTGGGTCACATCGCCGGGCGGCAGACTGTCGTGTGCGCTGTGCAGTATTGACGTTCGATTGGTGCAGTATCAGTCTCTCGACATCGGACTCCGAGATAATGGGCGTGAGACCGTGTGTGACTTGCTATAAAGAGCTCTCGGTGCGCTAGCATACTGACCTCCCATCGGTAGACTCTCTGCCGAAAGACCTCATTGACTGGGTGGGATTCCTCGTGTGTTGCCAGGCGCTGGAGATGGACGAAGGATATCAGAGGGCTAAGGAAGGTCTCGGGAAGGCACAGAAGAAACAAAAACTAAAAAAGAAGAGGGACTATTACAAAATCCTCGGTGTCAAAAAGACAGCATCAAAGAAAGAGATTAACAAGGCGTACAGGTAAATGATAGCAGCCTGACATGGCTGAATCGATCGAGATCTTCCACTCCCACGTTTGATACTTACAAGTCTCGTGCTCTCGGCAATAAAGGACATTGTTTGAGCACGACTGGTATGTTCCAAGCATTTCTTATGATAGGATAACGTGAAGCTCCTTTGTGCACCGTTGCCATTGTTGTTTTTCTTCTTCCACCAAAGCATAGTACTGTTTCGTGACTGATGCATTGCATCTGGTATGCTCTACGCTTGTATTACTATTGGCCGTATGTTGGTCGGCGTGTATGTAAAAGAGCGTCGCTGTCTGCTGTGCAGGAAACTGGCCCAGCAGTGGCACCCGGATAACTTTGCGACCGGCGACGAGAAGGACAAGAAGAAGGCGGAGGCCATGTTCATCGACATCGCGGCAGCCAAGGAGGTGCTCTCCGATCCCGGTGAGAGCGATGATAGGGGAGATAATGGGTGGAGGAGATGAGAAGGTGTGTGTATGTCCACTTTGTCCAGTGCCTGGCCAATGGACTGTTGGAATATCGCTTCCGTCTCTTTCGGGTCCGGCACTCGACGCTATTTGTCAACGAGCTCTGAAACTTACCACTGTTGACCAACCCCGCTTCAAATCTAGCTGACTTAACCGTCTGCCACGTCTGACCACCCCATCTGACCCTATCTAACCTCCGTCCGCCCCGTCTGCCCGGCAGACAAGCGGCGCAAGTTTGACGCCGGAGAGGACCCGCTCGACCCGGAGTCGGAGGCGGGCCGCGGCTTCAACCCGTTCGAGCAGGGCTTTCACGGTTTTCACGGCGGCCAGGGCGGCGGGCCGTTCCACTTCAAGTTCCACTTTAACTGAGCGCCGCGTGTGCCGGCGGGCGGCGCGGCGCGCCTGTGATATGGGTGTCCAGCGGCCCGGGACGGCCGGTCGGCGGGCAGCGCTCCCCCACGGCGGGAGAGGCTCGCTACCTCGTGTGCATTTACGCGTCTCGTCCGAAGCGCCGCGGTAGCCAGAGACCGACTCGAGGGTGCGGCGCCGCGCCGGTCCACGACTGAGTGTGGACTGTGGACTGTCCACCGTCTGAGAGTGGATTGACTGCGCGCCGGCCGGCCGGACCCGGGGCCGTGCCGGGAGGCGGGACCGATCGGGGACCTGTCCGGTGATAAACACTAACAGTGTCGCGTGCGGGACGGCGCGGCGGCGGTGCCTTGGCTCGGTGGTAGTAGGATCGGGAGTGTGAGTTTGTGTGTGCGGGTATGTCCGTGTGCCGGGCGCCACTGAGCCGCCTGGTCCCCACAGTGGCTGTACAAACTGACTCGCAAAGTGCCGGCGGCCTCCACCGCTGGCCGAAGCTCATGACCTACTGCAATCCGCTGTGACCTGCATCGCTAGGGGAGGGCATCAGAGAAGCTAGGGTTTATAATTTAGTTTCAAAATCGTATTTTGCGGATGCTAGGCCGCACTTGATGATAGGTTTGGTGCTCGATTGGGGATTACCGGCCGATGCAGGGGGAGGGGAGTTGGCAATCGGCCGTTTCTCGGGTATCCCCTCCGCGGGAGTTCAAACTCGGTTATTTGATTTGTCGACTTACGTTCGCGTGCACATAAGCTGTTTATGTGGAAATGTGAAACAAAGGGTTCTGAAATATATGTATGCCATATACCCTCGGGTCTTGTTATAGGATTTATCAAGCTATCAAGTTAATGCAGCGGTTACAGGACCTGGCTACGCCCGTCGGCGATTGGGCCTGTACCATCAGTTGGCAGCTTTGTTGAGCCCAAGGATGGATCTGTAGAAAAGTAACGCAACAAAAAATCTAAATGTAAAATTTGGCATTCGCTTTACATAGCGAGACTTGTCATTGGAGAAGTTCAAAAGTTCGACTCGGCAATTTTTACAGTATTTGGGGCGCACACAATTTCGTAGCCACGCTCCATTTCCCTGTTTGCGTCAGTGATTGTATAGCGTGCGTCAAAACTCAAAACGTTACCTTTTCTGTTCATCATCGCGTTTGAAAACGAAAAACACTGGTGTTGCTAGGCAACTTGCAGCGATTATCCAAACTTTTAGAAAAGCTAAGCGATTTGCCATGGTTACCTTTGTGTAACTCGGCGATAACAAGGGTCAACGGTATCTGGCATCTTCCTCTGGGACGCCAGGCTTACTTATACCCAAGGCCCTAAATACAAGGTTGCACGGACTAATTTGTACTAAACCTACCAGAATATAGTTTCATGGTTAAATATTTAAATAATTTATCAATCAAAACTTCTTCATTATTATCTCGTAATCATTTATAAGCAATTTTATAAATGTACTTTTAATTTGCTTGCCATTTAAGGGAAAAAAACTTTCTAGTATTGGGTCAACAAAGTGGTGTAGCAGTAGGAACCATATCTGGCAAAACCCCAATGCCTACATACAGCAGAAAAGCAGCCACCAGGTGTCGCGACAGTCGCCCCACAGATGTCGCGCGCGTCGCTTATCGCCACACTACCGATTTCCATAAGGACGCATATGTACGGATATGTAAGGGAAAGTCGCCCTTAAAGATTACGCTTACATTCTTTGCTTATAAGGTCGATGTTTGGAAATTGGGAGGGGCTCGGCTATTTTCGACCACGGATATGGCTTTATCACATGATGAGGAACATGCTGATAAGCGTTTAATGTGTCATAACAGCACCCAAGTATTTTTAATCATTTTTCAAAAATAGCCGTTCTGCCGTATCTTTCAGTGCAAGGTGCCGTCGGTCATCCCCGACGTTACGTCACGCCGGGGATTGCCAGATTTTCCTACTAGACTTCGACGCCCCCTGCTTATACCGATAAAACCAAGGGCGCTGTCAACAATACATCAGCTTAGAAAATATATTATTTGATGTTAAATCTCCACCAAGGGGCAAGGGTATTTGACCCACCAGCGACCACCACTTCAGTTGGGGAAACTACAGACGCGTTTACATAGGGTTTGTTGCAAGCTTATATCTCCGTCCGTGATGTTGCAAAAGATGCCAATGGTGCTTAACAATTTACAAAATGATCCCCTCTAAATATTTGTAGACCACTGCATCGAAATTAAAGCCAAATTAACGAGCTAGAGCCTCGTCAAATATGCTATGTAAACCGGGTTTACGAGGCGAAGATCCAAAAATGGATCGGTCAATAGATAGACTTTTGATGATCATATATGGGCATAAATGCAGCCAGACTTTTCTTATCGCAGATAAAAGGCTTCCATTTTCCACTAGGAATCAACGTGATTTGATCAAATTCAGTGATTTCACTCGAAAATGGCGATAGAAAAACATTTTTTCTGCAGGTTCCGGGCGTCACAATCAGCTGGCCATTCCATAAATGGATCGGTATTTTGTAAGAAAATTGTTAAAAGATTTAATTTCATTACAATAAATAAAGATACCTATTTAAAATTAAAATAATTATTTAACCACAATTGGAAAACCATATACAAAATAATAGAAATAATGACATTTTAAAACAATGGTGCTGCTGTCATTTTTTTGCACTTCTTCAATCCGCCATATTTGCCAATCACTGTTTGACCTTGTATTGTAACTCTGCGAGTGCGATTTAGAGCCGCCAGTTAATTGTGCACTGAGTGAGTGTAGGCCTTGTGTGGTTAAAAAACATTATTATGCCTTATTTTTTATTTGAATGCTAGGATGCATGGAAAAGATGAAGTTTTCTGATTTTATGATCATATATTGTCATCGCCTTATTCGCCCCGCCCACTCCAACCATTGATTGGCTGATCCAATTTTAGGCCGCGTTCGATGTCTCCTCGGACGAAGAACATTCTACGCAGAATATTCTATTTTGCGTTCGATGAAGCACACAGTCGGACGACGAGACCGGCCATTTTGTGCGCCACTTACTCAAATGTGCGTCAGTTTCGAAAAGGCCCAAGTTTACGTTTCCATAGAGACTGCGCACAAATGTCAACAACTTTTGCAAACAGCTGCTGCGCCGCTTCTGAAATACGCGCCATCATTGCCTCTCTGCCCACCGTAGTCCGCTCAAAAGATTCTGCGCGGACGGCAAAGATTCTACGTGACGTCACGTGGAATCTTTGCCGTCCGTGCGACATCAAACGGCATTTTGGGCCCGGACGGCATAGAATCTTCGTCGTCAGGGAGACATCGAACGCGGGGTTAGTTTGGCGCCTCACAGTTTCCCCAACTGACTTTGACTTGCACTGTTCAAGAGCAAGTTACACCAATCACCATCTAGTATCTGTCCTGATAAGGGACTTCAGGTGCCTTATCAGTTTAATCACTTGGTTTAATCAGGTCACATGTGTGCATTTTTATTTATTCAGGTGCACCACCATGACATCCCGCGGAGGGGGGCGGACCCCGTCCGGCGGCGGCGCGGAGTCGCGGCCCCGCCGCAGTCCGCGCCTGACGCCGACGGCGACCGCTCAGCCGCGCATCAATGTGCAGCAGCTGCGCAAACAGAAGAAGGCGGCGGCGGCGGCGGCGGCGGCGGCGGCATCTGCAGGTGCCAGTCCTAAGGCTGCCGTGTTCGACCCTCTGGCACCGGTGAGTGGCGCTGTCCTGCGACCTGCCGGGTTTGGGACTCGCACGTGATAAACTTTAACGTTATCGACTTCATTTACGCGTAACGTTGTGCCAGCAGTATCATTCAGCACAGCTAGCATCACCCTCTGTATCCCCTCTGTATCATCCCGTCCAGCCTGAATTACCCGCTGTATCGTTCCGCAAATACCTGCTGTGCCGTCCCGTGCCCCACTGGCGTACCCCGCTGCCATTAACCGTTCTCGTGCGTTCAGTGTGACGCGGCGGCCGAGGTGCGCCGCGGCGCCACCGGTCTGGTGTATGATGAGCGGATGCTCGAACACCGCTGCCTCTGGGACGACGACTTCCCAGAGGGACCTGACAGGCTGCAGGTCATCTTCGACAAGTGAGGATTGCAGTCGTGGGGAGTATCTGATCTGTTCTGTGGCCTGCTGAGTGCTGAGCTCACATGGTGTTTGTGGTCATTATGCTTTTGTTTTTTAATATGGCTTTCAGGAATTAAGTTCGAATATTTGTAATAGGTGGATTTCTAAAGTCAGACTCGATACTCGTTCTGCAGACTGCGTTGTGCCGGACCTGACGTTTTCTTCCCGCGAGGTATAAGTAACCAAAGTCCATACCTCAGGTGCTCCTTGCAGTCCCAACTGGTCCTGCTGGAGTGGGTGTAACCAGTGTACTTGTTCCGTGTCCAGGTGCTCTCAGCTCGGTCTGGTGGACCGCTGCCAGCGCGTGCCGGCCCGGCACGCCACCGAGGAGGAACTGCAGCTCTGTCACAGCCCGGAGCACATCCAGAGGCTGCGCCAGCTCTGCGAGCGGGGAGAACCAGAGCAGCTGCGCCAGGAGGCCGACAAACACGACTCAGTGTACCTCCACCCGGTCAGTGGGGGTGGGGAGGGGTGGGGGGGAGAGGCGGTTAACACGACCCGGTCTCCCTCCAGTCTCCACCCGGTCAGTGCACGAGGTTTGGTCCGCCCAGTCAGAGGGGGATGAGCGCGGCTCTGTGTACCTCCACCCGGTCAGTGCAGGCGCACGGTATGCCCGTTCATTGGCGGCTCTGCCCGTTCATTTGGCGGCTCTGGAACGCACGGTCCGCCCGCCCGCCTCTTGTCAATGAAGGAACTGAAGCTACCTTTAATCTTATTGTCCAAATAGGTAGTCTATGTGGGACGACGTCCCTCGAAGTTGCGTTGTACCAATTGTTGTTTATTATTTTGTCCTAGACGCCGTTCTATGGAAGCTCCAGTAACTCATAAGCAATAAGCATTCCAGTATCTCGCCAGTGACCGTGTCCCTCTGCGGTATCCTTTCCAGGCGACGTTCCAGTGCGCCTCGCTGGCGGCTGGCTCTGCCCTGGAGCTGACCGATCAGGTGCTGGACGGAAAACTGCAGAACGGGTTCGCCATCGTCAGGTGAGAGTCGGCCTCGCGGACGGTGTCAGTATGTGCTCCGTCGAAAGTGCTCATTATCTTGTTCAAAAGGCAGTCACTGCCGTCAGGGCGGTCGTAGTACAATCTTTGCGGAAGGACGTGCCCCTTGCACGGAGAGTGAGCGGGTATCGATGAGCCTCTTGTGAACGTGTACTGGGAACTGTGTGATGCACAGCAGTTGCTGACCTCGCTATGAACTTACCTTTAACCTACCTATGTCCGGACTCCGACCTCTGACCTCACTCAGGCCGCCGGGTCACCACGCCGAGCCGGACGAGTTCAGCGGGTACCGCTTCTGACCTGACCTGTGACCTGTGACCTGACCTCTGTACCTCAGACCGCCGGGCCACCACGCCGAGCCGGACGAATTCAGCGGGTACTGCTTCTTCAACAACGTGGCACTGGCGGCGCGTCACGCGGCTAACCGCGGCAAACGGGTGCTGATAGTCGACTGGGACGTGCACCACGGCCAGGGCACGCAGGAGATGTTCTACTTTGACCAGAGGTCAGTAGCGGGCGAGGCCCTACCTCTGGAGATCGTAGAGAGGGAGGCTGGGCGGTTACGTTCGGGGAAAGTTGAAGGGGGCGGGGTGTGAAATATATTTGGCTTCCAGCTTTTGGGAGAAGTCTGTGCCTATGGACAATGGACGAATTGGCTTATGCTTCCATCTGTCGATGTGCGTTTCCCGGCGTATTATTCCTGATGTCCTCGTCTGCGGCCATGTTTTGCCCATAATGTGTTCCCTGGTGCTCTCTAGTCTGTGTACACTGTACATAGCCCGTTTTGTACTCCGCCAGTGTGCTGTATTTCTCGGTGCACCGGTACGACGGCGGCGCGTACTGGCCGGGCGGCTTCACCGGCCACTGGGAGCGGAGCGGGGCCGGCGCCGGCGCCGGACTCAACTGGAACGTGCCGCTGGACGGGAGTGCCACCGACTCGGACCTGCTAGCCGTGTGGCACCGGCTCCTGCTGCCGGCCGCCTATCAGGTTAGAATGGGGTACTAGATAAGACTCGGGGGTAGGGTACGTGTGGCAGTTGGCACCGGTTGCTGCTGCCGGCCGCCTATCAGGCCAGAATGGGGAGAGCGAGTGACGATAGACCCAGGTCAGACTGGGACCTAGAGGGAGGGGGTGGAGGGTACGTGTGACACCGGCTCCTCCTGCTGCCGGCAGCCTATCAAGTCGGAAGGGGGAGAACGAGATCGAGGTAGACTCAGGTCGGACCGGGAATGATTGATAGATGGGTAATGTAGAATAGATCACATTTCATTGTGTTATTTTGTCCGTCCACGTTGTTTTGACGGCGTTTCTGTGTTTCAGTTCGCGCCGGACCTGGTGATCGTGTCGGCTGGATTCGACATGGCACTCGGTGATCCTAAGGTGAGAGTCTCTTTGGTAAGCCTTCTAAAATGATATCTGCCTACGTTTCAGCGTGGTTTGCAACGTGATTTGATCTTACATCATTTGTGGCGTGTGTCTTCCCGCTAGGCATCGATATCTCAGTTCGACCTGTGCATGCTCTTTCTGTTTTTTTTTTTATAGCCACCCTCCGTCTAGTCTGTCCCAACCGTTTTGAGTGTCTGACTGCCGTCCCGCCGTCCGCCGGCAGGGCTGCATGGCGGTGACGCCGGCGTGTTTCGCGCACCTGACGCACGCGCTGCTGGCGCTCTCGTCCGGCCGGCTGGTGGCCGTTCTGGAGGGCGGCTACTGCCGGCCGGCGCTGGCCGCCGCCGCCGCCCACACACTGGCCGCCCTGCTCGGGGAGCCGCCGCCGCCGCTGCCGGCCAGCCTGCCGCCGCCGTCAGAGAGGTAGGAGACGGGAGACAGAGAGGGCATGTGTGTGACAGGGAGGGGTGCGAGAGGTGACGAGATTCTGAATGCAGATTCCGCTGGGCCAACGTTTGTGAACACTAATCACACTTCTGTGTTGGCCGAGGGCGATTTTTATGGCTGGTTGCAGTGGCTGTTGAACTGTTGAATTGTTTTAGTGACTGGTGGACCGCCCTTTACCGACCCTGTGGACGGCCAGTTAGAGTAAGTAACCCACGCATAACTGACCCACAGCGACCCGTATATAGACTATCCTGACCACTCCCTCCGCCCCCTTTACCCCTCCGTCAGCGTGTCAACCGCCATCCGGCACGTGATGTGCGCCCACCGGGCCACGTCGCCGTTCCTGGGCCGGCACGGCACCTTCTCGGCCTCTGCTGACGAGTGGGCCGTGTCAGCGCCCGACTGCCACTGGCCGCCGCCGGCGCGGCCGCCCCGCCAGGTGGGGCCCAACCCCGCGCCGCCGCCGGACGCCCTGGAGCGACTCAACAGACTGCTGCTCGGTGAGTGCCGGGCGGGGAGCGGGGGGTGGAATGTATTATCGTGAGAGGTTGGGAGTCATGTCAGTCATAAAGTCGTATATTAAAGAGGTCATGCCGTCGGAACCGGCGTGAAAAAAATAACTACCACGTCTTATTATGTCGTATACCCACGTAGCATAAGGTGACCTTTCGTGACCTGATCTCACCTGAGGTGACCTTGAGCTTGATTTATGCTTCTGCAACTAAGGTCAGGATGCCGAATAACGACTACCATCAAAATAAGCGCGAAAATCTGTCCCTAAACTCAGAAGCATAACAACTCTCGTCGATGAGTTGTCTCAAAGTGACCTTTCATGACCTGACCTTGACCTTGACCCTTCGTATGACACTTATGCTAACAGGGCACCTTAACAAAGTATTTAAGGTCACTTTGGCCTAGTTTCGGGCAGAAACTTACTTATTCCACCATTCAAGCCATACGGTGCGAATACCCCAATTCGACCTTTGACCTGATATTGACCCGAAAGATGATATCAATCCTGAAATCTTGAGAATGCTTTGGGAAGATCTCGTGGAGAGCTTTCAAACGCCGCCTCGCGGGTCTCTATAGGACCATTGGTTCTCGAGATAACAAAGGGTCGGATCCGACCCTCCCCCAGGTTGTCGTTGGTCCCCCAGGGGCCTGGTGAGCCGGGGGAATTTTGAAAACACGAATTTGAAATTTGTATTTTCGTTTTTACAAGCTCATTTTATCCACACACTCATGCTCAATGGTCCTTCCACCACGTCCTGATTCTAAAACTACATAAGTGTGGTCGGGTCTCCTCATAACGCAACAAACACCAGCGCGATCTGCCGCCGCCCATCCAGCCCACTGCTACGGTGCCACCCCGGTGTCGCAGCAAGTCGCAGAGTTGGCGGAAAGTTGGAAGCAAGTGCCACCGGCCGTGTCTCCCTTTCTCCGACCGCAGTAGCTGCACATAACGCGCCTGGCCGATAGCTGAGCGGCGCCGTGACGTCAGTGGAGCGGTGGGCGGAGTTATGGGCGGCTAGTGGCCGGCGGGCCGTGTGCGGAGCGTCAGCTGCCCGCCGTGCGCGCGCGGCGCCTCCCCATCGCCACCACACAGCGCTCGCTGCTCGCTCCGTCCGCACTTGCGTCACAAACAATGCTGGCGAATGGCGATTGATTGATTGCTAGTGATTGGATTGGAAAGGCCGGGCGAATTAAACAAAGCTGTGATATGTTGTATGGGTGCTAAATTTGCTTGCACGTTTGCTCGTTTTAGTTTTTTTTTAGTTGCTGCAGCACAGTGATCCTGAAAACATAGGTAACGAACGCGTTTTTAATGAAGACGGATTTAAGAGTCCACTAAAACAAATGTTTCTTTTATTCAGGGAGCCTGTCGTATATTGATAAATCTTTTTAGGTTTCGTCGAAAAGGACTCTAAGAATTATATCGCAAAAGCGTCGTTCCCTGTCGTCCTTGCTAGAGAGGGTAGTAAACAAACCGATAATTTCTGGACGAATTATCGCTCAAGTTTGTAATGAACGTGATTGAAGTTATGACACCACCCACCCCACCCCTCCGCCGCGAACGTAGTCCATCGTCACGCAGTGTGTCATTTGGTTGTGTTTCAGTGTCTCGACCGTTGGCGCCGGCCCACCGCGTCTGTCTGGCCACCAACGAGGACATGATGAGACACCGCAACGTCGACGATCCGTGAGTGGCACGCCAGCTCGCTAATCTGGAGCGAAGATAAAAGCCCGATTAGCGCGGTACAATCGTTGCCGACGGTCAATGGCTCAACTGTTAAATTCGACATAAGTACACATTAACGACATGTTTGTTAGTTAATGAATGACGTGTTTATTCAATGTCCCTAATTAAAGCCCATAAAGAAGCAAACAAACATGTATTTTATTTACATTTTTCCTTGCCTTATACCCTTTTATTCTTTACAGCGTACCTGTCCTTTGACCGTCCGCTGACCAACGGCCAGTGAGTGACATGTGATCCCCCGCTGACCGTCCCTCCCCCTCCCCCGCATGCAGTGACCACCCGGAGCGGCCGGAGCGTCTGCAGTCGATCCTGACCCGGCTGAGCGCCTGGGGTCTGTCGGACCGCTGTCTGCGAACCCCCGGCCAGCTGCGTGTCTCCCCCGAGCAGCTGGTGCCCCCGCACGAGCCGGCGCACGTGGCCGCGCTGTCCGACACTGAGCAGCTGTCCCAGTCGGAGCTGGACCGTCTGGCCGACCGGTTCAACTCCGTGTTCCTCTGCCCGGAGAGCTACGACTGCGCACTGCTGGCGGCCGGCTGTGTCGTGGAGGTGAGCGGGCGAGAGAGGTGATCGTTGGGACCGGGTGGGGTGAGCAAACAATTACGATGAGCTGTGGGCGCGACCTGCGGCGGCCGGAAGTGACACGTCTCTCCCTCTCCCAGATCTAGCACCTTGGCTTAGAGCCTCCAGCGCGGTGGTGGTTGTAATCCTGTGACAGTCGTGACGGTTGTAATGTCATGTAAATTTGTGTAGGAACTTAGCTCAGAAGTCTCACTGTGACCCCCTGTATCCCTGTTTCAGGCGGTGGACAGCGTTCTCTCCGCTGAGAGCTGTTGCGGTCTGTGCGTGGTCTCACTGTGGCCCCCTTCCCCCTGTATCCGCCTGGTTCAGGCGGTGGACAGCGTCCTCTCCGGTGAGAGCGGCTCGGGTCTGTGCGTGTCTCACTGTTGTATCCCTGTTTCAGGCGGTGGACAGTGTGCTCTCTGGTGAGAGCGGCTCGGGTCTGTGCGTCATGGTCCCTGGTCTCACAGTATGTATCTCTGTGTCTCCGTTTCAGGCGGTGGACAGTGTGCTCTCTGGTGAGAGCGGCTCGGGTCTGTGCGTGGTCTCACTGTTGTATCCCTGTTTCAGGCGGTGGACAGTGTGCTCTCTGGTGAGAGCGGCTCGGGTCTGTGCGTCATGGTCCCTGGTCTCACAGTATGTATCTCTGTGTCTCCGTTTCAGGCGGTGGACAGTGTGCTCTCTGGTGAGAGCGGCTCGGGTCTGTGCGTGGTGTCACTGTTGTATCCCTGTTTCAGGCGGTGGACAGTGTGCTCTCTGGTGAGAGCGGCTCGGGTCTGTGCGTGGTTCGGCCGCCGGGCCACCACGCCGAGCCAGACACCCCGCACGGTTTCTGCCTGTTCAATAACGTGGCGGTGGCGGCGCGGCACGCCGTCAGCGCGCACGGCCTGCGCCGCGTGATGATACTCGACTGGGACGTTCACCACGGAAACGGTGAGAATCGGAAACAGTGGGGAAACCAGAAATTGTCACTACATACAAAAACGGTTAGTTAGCTTGGACGAAAGTAGTGTTGATTGGAAGCAGCGAGGAAAAAAAGATGCGGCAAAGAATAGCTTTGGTGTAGGCAGGCCGTTTTATCGGCGTTAAAGCTGATTGCTGAAAAAGATGCTGGTCAAAATCAGCGAGCCGATAGTGTGTTATTCTAAGGTGGGCTGAAAACGGCGAAGGATTTCATAGTAGGGGAGCGGCTGGCGGAGTAATAAGTATGTTGGAGTGCATCATCCATGAATTGTGTAGGGTATTATTTATTTCAGGGACTGCCGCATCTTACATAATCGGGCTGTTATCAGTTCGATCCCGTCTGCGCGGAACTTTTGCAGACCGGTCGATGGGTGTGGCACATTTCGGGAACAGTCGACGGATGGGTCACGCGAGTCACCCGAGAGTTAGATTATTTTATGGATTATCACCTTCTTAATAGTCTTGGAAAATTTGCTGGATTCTGAGAGTATGCTGGCTGATCTATAAGAGTTGGCCCGTAGAACGGCGAAGACACGCCCCAAACTACTTTGTGCTCTGCAGAATAAGTCATTAATTTTTCATCAAAATGGCGTGTTTGGTTTCATGCTGGTCTCTTTGTTTCTTTCCGCATGAAGGCAATCAGGTCTCGCATAACACCTCCGTGCTAACAGCTTACACATCTTCAGTCTGTCTGAGTCTTACAGGAGTAATTTTAACGATCACGGATCGTAATTGTTTCCTTCCCGTGTCGGCAGGCATCCAGCACATGTTCTACGAGGACAGCGACGTGCTGTACATGTCTCTACACCGGCACGACTTCGGCTTCTTCTTCCCAATGTCGGACGACGGCGACCACGACCGGGTGGGGAGCGGGCCCGGCGCCGGGTTCAACGTCAACGTGCCCTGGAACCGGGCGCGCATGGGCGCCGCCGAGTACCTGGCCGCTCTGCTGGCCGTCGTGCTCCCCGTGGGCTACCAGTTCAGCCCCGAGCTGGTGCTCGTCTCGGCTGGGTTTGATGCGGCGCGCGGCGACCCTCTGGGCGGCTACCTGGTCCCTCCGGAGGTGTACGGCCACCTGACCCACCACCTGACCGCGCTGGCCGGCGGGCGCGTGGTGGTGGCGCTCGAGGGCGGCTACAACCTGACCAGCATCTCGTACAGCATGGCCATGTGTGCGCGCGCGCTGCTGGGTGACCCGGCCGTGCAGTTGCCGCCGATGCCGGCCGTGAACGATAGCGCGGCGCGCACGCTGTGCTCGGTGGCGCACAGTCAGCGGCCGTTCTGGCCGGCCGTGGCCGAGCCCCACCGACTGGCCAAGGAGCCGCTGGACGTGGTGCGGCGCGTCATGGAACAGCGGGGAGACGCCGCTGTCACTGCCGAGTCGACCACTGCCGCTCCGGAGGAGGTGGAGAAGGAGGGGCCGCCGGTGCTGCCGCGGACAGCCTGGCAACCGGAGCCGGAGACAAAGCCACACCCGGAGCCGGAGCCAAAGATGGAGCCGGAGCCGGAACTACAGCCTGAACCGCAGCCGGAGGCGGAGCCGCTGGAGCGTCTGGTGGACCGTTTGACGCTGGCAGAAGACCAGGGCACAGGAGCGGCGGCCGCCGGCGACCTGGTCGTGGAGGGATCTCCCGAGAGGGATGCCAAGCCGGTAACTGCGCCCGCTGGTGAGGGCGAGAAGGCTACCCCGCCAGAGAAGGGTCAGCCCGGAAAGGACGCTACACCAGCGGAAGGACAGACGGAAAAGGCGGCCGCGCCGCCGGCCACCGTGAAGTCGGCCTGGGCCGAGCGGGCGGCTGAGGCCTCCGGTCTGTCGGAGCAGGGAGCCGTGGCGGCCGCGCTCGCTGCCGGAGACGCCGCTCTGCAGCAGTTTCTGGTGCTCGAGGAGATCTCCAATCAGGTCAGTGGAGCCGGGGGGCTGTCTCAGTGGAGGGGGGGGGGATATAGTGGTATGTTCGATACTTGATATGGTGAAATATGTCGCTGCGTTTATCTGTAAATAGTTGTCATCGTGCCCATGGTTATCCAGGAAGTCTCATTAGCCCAGTTTGTATTTTTGATGTCGTGTAGCTTTTCGCGCTGCATGTGTTACCTGGGCTTTCGATTTCGACGGGGAGCTCCGACAACTAAAATCTTTCAGTGGAAGAAGCGCTTATTGGTGTTGCTCGTTTTTACCAGTAGGTCCCTATTTTATATTGGGAGCTTCCAATCTTTAGCTCTGTTGCCAGCTGACGTCAGCTTGGTTAACATATACCGTTTTCGTCTTCATTGTAAAAATTTGTCACATTAGACCAGTGAATCATATTATCCTCATTTTCAATATTTAGGTGGCCAACTTTGGAATGCATCTGTCCTATCCTGGTTGCTATTGCATTGTGAATTATTTTGCTTTAATCGATAAAATCCTAAATTAATTTTGATTTTCGAAAACATTTCAATTTCTCTGCTGTCTGAAGTATGTACCTAGCTCTTAAGCTCTCGACATTTGAGAAATACCGTTGATGAAGACTGTCGCCCGTCGCTGCCTCGTCCCGTCCTTCCTGCCCTGTTCTGCGGTCTCGCATTGCGTGATTCTCTCTTCGATTCTGACAGGTATGGTCACAGGTCGATGAGATCAATCAGACTGCGAATTGGCACCGAACGTGAATTGATTTTTTACTGGGCCAGCTGCTCATCGGTTGGACATTGCTTGCCTCCGATAGTTCATTTGTACCCTTGTTTTTATCGGTGCCAGATGAAATCACATGCCTTATATCAGACAGACATATAAATGGTTGTAACGTATCCAATCGAGTAGGTAAACGGGTGTATAGACTATTACCGTGCTTCTCTGGGTGAATCGATGCGGTGTAACTGCCTTTTCTTTCGATGGGGGCAGGTATTTAGCGGTATTATTGTTTAGTGCTCTTCTCCATCGTTCTTTGGTGGGCAAGTTTCATCAAGCAGCAACCAGCGCGCTTATTTAAGTTTTGCTGCATAACTATCGTGTTATGCATCATTCTCTCCTGACGTGTTGTGGGTTAATGGCAGCAGTTTTACATAATCCATGCAGTAACTTAACCAACCAATAGGTAACCATGTCATTGTTATTGTGTATCCTCAACATGAGGCTTAACGATCGATAAAGTAATTAACCTGAGCCGGACCACGTTCTTCCAACAAACAATGTACTTACACAACAATCCGGCGTCAACAAGCAATAGCCATTCTGACTCGTCAATAAACCGCATTTATACACACTAATAAAGCACACCATAGGGTCATCATCTGAAGGTTTATCCACGGATGTATGACTGAGCATCGAGCACTTCTAGGATAAGAAGATTACCGTACGTTATGTGCGCTCAGAACTCTGAGGTAGGTTCCTCGTGGAGCTGGTGGCGGCACTCTCGGTCCCAGGGGTCGTCTCTGATCCGATCCCCGAGTATGTTCACCTGGTGAGACGGCAGCCCGCCGCTGGAAGGAGCCCGTCAGGCAGGTAATACCTCCCGCACTGACTCTGACTCCGACTCCGACTGCGACTCGGTCTGTATCGACTCGTCCGTGTCACTGGACTCCTCGCCGACCTCCGACTCGGCGTCGGAGGACTGGGAGTCGGAGTCAGAGTCGGCCGGAGTCGGACTGGCCGGCGGGGACTGCTCCGAGTCGCCGGCGTGTCCGGAGGTGGTGGCGGTGGCCGCCGTGGGCTCCGTGCTGTCACTGCCGGCCTCGGCCGCGGCGTCTGCCCCGGCCGGCTCCGCGCCGCCCGCACCCGCCGCCAGAACCTTCACCCGAGTCGCCAGGAAGATACGTTTGAGCCTCCTGTCGAGTTTCCGGACCTGTTTGCGGTGGCGCTGGATGCGGCGGTCGGTGGCGGCCAGGCAGCGGCCGCAGGGCCCGGCGCCGCCGCTGACCTCCAGCACCACCAGCGGGCTGGCGGCGCCGCCCAGCCGCGCGCCCACCGGCCGCCGGCGCTCGCAGCAGACGCTCAGCCGCGCCGCCGTCACATCGCCCAGCCGCGCCGTCAGCGAGAACGGCTCCGGCGGCCGGCGCTGCGAGACGAACGTGACGTGCTGGCGCGGCCGCACCGTGCCGGAGAACACCACCCGGCCGGCCTGGGTGAGCAGCAGCGGCTGCGGCCGGCGCGGACCGCTCAGCGGCAGGAACGCCACCGTCACTGTGCAGGACGTCAGCGGACCGCCGCCGCCGCCCGACGAACACGAGCCGGACCGGAGGGGACGGCTGCCGCTACTGGACGACCGCCGGCTCAGCGGCATCCCAGGGCGCGCTCACGGGGCTCAGCGGCCCGCTGGCCGGTGGGCGATCTTGATGAGGCTGGGATATTGATGAGTGGGGCTGTCAGAGGCCTGGGTGGTCGATCCTAGGCAGCCGAGGATAGTTGGACGGCTCCACGCACTGGTGACGTGAAGTGTCTCCAGGACTTCGGGGATGCTTATGGGTTACAATAAGCAGATTTTTCGCTACCCACTATCACATCGACTGCCCTCAGTCATACCTCATACACACCCCACTCGTCTACCGGGTCTCTGGTGCTTAGCTCGATCGTCTTCGCTGGGACTGTTACCTTCTGTCGGTGGTCACCGTCCACTTGATAACGTCCACCCTCCACTGCCGTTTTTCCTGGCAAATCGCCGTCGATCTCCCCCATTGACCCTCCACCGTCCGTCCGTCGCTGTCCACCACGCACGGCTGTCGGCGGCCGACTGCCGGTGGTCAGCTGCTGAGGTCACCTGCCCCCCCCCCCCCACCCCTGTCGGTCGGTCGGTCGATCGGTCCGCTCCATCGGTCACTGTGGCAGGTCGGACACGGCTGCCCGGTGACCGGACTGGACCGGACCGGGGATCGACCCGGACCCGAGCTGACCCGAGCCAGACCCGGACCGGACCCGGGCCTGACGGGACCAAACCGCAGGGGATCGACCCGACTCCGACAGACTGACCCGGACAGGACTGGGTCAGCTGTATACGAGTAGAGTCAAAACATGACAGAGCAGAGCCCCACTGGTTGGAAGTCGTCTCAGGTGTCTGTTTGTCGAGATGTTTTTTTTACCCGCTTTTTGGGTCCGTCTTCACTCCTCATGGAGGAAGGTTAATCGGTCTAAATGGCGAGCTTTGTTGCCTCCGGCTTCGGTAATGCACTAGTCGTATCCGTTCAGCTGCACTCCGGCTTTACTAAGTGGTTGGCGTTTTGATGGATAGTGCCCTCGTCTGATCTCACCCTGTGGATCAGTCGTCCTTGTTCGATTCCCCGGCAGGGTGCCCGGCCTCTTCACTCTCCAGTCATCACGTATATGGCGCTGTATTGGCAATGGCACCGCCCGGAGATGCCGGCTCCTCGGATCCCTAATCACCGCTGTTCATTTATACCCAATAACTACTCCCCTATCAATTAGTGGCCGGTACTGTCGGCCGTATCAATTAGTGCACAATGTCGCCGATGAGCAGGGCGGGTCAATCGAGGGCAGACCGAGCCGCATTTACCACTCACCACGACGACCGACTGGTCATTGGACGGCCATTACACGGTGGGAATTAGGCCGCCGAGCATTAACGTGCATTCCATAGTTACAAGCTTGTGCTTATAGATATGCACTGTTACACCCTTTCCTGGTATACCGATTTTAGTTTTGGACATTTTATAGGCACATGTGTATAGAGACAGTGAAGTTTTAGAGGCATAACATACTGATACGCTATTCATGACACGTTTGTTCCATAGGTTGGCTACAGGTGTGCGTTCCCAGGCGGTTGAATGGGCTGTTCGCTGTCGTCGAAATAGAGGCGACACCCTCGGCAGACACCCCTCAGTATCGCCCCTTCCACTGTCCGTGTGTCCGTGCGTGTCGAGCAGCCGTCTACGGAGCGGTCCGAATCCCTGCCGTTTCACTGTTTGGACATGGTCGTCACGCAACTGCTGGCCGCCGGCTCCCCAGTCCCACTGCCCTCCTGGCCAGTGACCCATTTACCGCGCAGCGACCCAAATGTCACACCGACCGGGAAGCGACTCGTGCAGTGTTGACTCGAACCGCCGCCTTTCCATGGAGCTATGCTTGTTACAGCTCCTAACTGACGCCCCGGGACGGGCAGGTCCGGCGCAGTAGGGTTGGACTTGGGTATGTGCGTGTGTAATTCTGTTTGTTCGCGTCTGGTATCGACTGGGCGGTATTTTGAATGTGGACAGCCGTGCTGTTTTTAGCACAATTGCTCCGGCTGTGGCATGGTGTCTATTGGACACGCTGTGACATAGTGTAGTGTCGATTTGTCTGTATGTCTGACCGCCCACTATCAGTCCCTCCGGCAGAACATGTTCGCGGTGGTGCCGCTGTGTGTGCGTCTGACCATTCTCCTTCTGTCTCCTTCAGAATATGTACGCGGTGGTGCCGCTGTGTGTGTCTGACCATTCTCCTTCTGTCCCTCCCTCAGAATATGTACGCGGTGGTGCCGCTACTCGACTGTCCCCACCTCTGCACGGTAGCCGATCTGCCGGTCGGAGGTATCAACGCTTCCGCTCTGTGCGCCGACTGCGGGGACAGCCAGGAGAACTGGGTCTGCCTGACCTGCTATCAGGTAACCGAGTGGGGCCGGGAGGACTGGACAGACAGGGGAGGGAGGTATGGGGTCCGTTGGCTGGGCGATGTTTGGTTCGGAGGTTCAGTAGGTTAAATGAGTATAGTGGAGCTCGATGCCGACACCAAGGTCGCGTGCAATTAAGGGTTCCTCAGCTGTTCGCCGGGTCCACGATCAGAACCGTGATGACTCGGTAGAATAATGTTCTTCACCACCGAATAATGTTCTTCACCACCGAATAATGTTCTTCACCACTGGCTCCTTTTCTGCCGGTGGACGGTACCGCTGTGTTCGAGCACTTTTATTCCCCTCCGGTGTCTCAGGTGTGCTGCGGCCGGTACCGCCATCTGACCGAGTCCGTCTGTTTCAGGTGTGCTGCGGCCGGTACCGCTCGTGCCACATGCTGGACCACGGCGCCGTCACCGGCCACTGCATGGTGCTCAGCCTGGCCGACCTCACCGTGTGGTGTTACGTCTGTGAGAACTACATCCACCACGAGCGGCTGACGGCCGCCAAACGGTCGGCGCACCACAGCAAGTTCGGCGTCGACATGCCCGGAGGCGACGCCGGCCACGCGTGACCTCTGGGAGGACTGGCACTGGGGTGGAGGGAGGGGCGAGTCCCTCCTCTGCGCTGCAGGGAGGGCAGCTGGGACCTGAGATAGCGCGACGACAACGAATAGCCTACAGCCGCGTCAGTGCCTCGAGATGGTGCATCGGGTCTTATTGGGCTACACACATGCTCGGCTAAACAACGGAAATAGTTATACTCATCGTGACTAGATAATCCGAGTTCAAATGAATATATAGTTCGTTTTTTTCAAAAGGACGCTGGCTCAAAGTTCAATATCGAAGCTCTCACGTGAGTTTTGGCAGCTTCAGTGTCTGGCCAAGAATTTCTTACCGAAAAAATAATCGATTTCAAATTTTGCACGGTAAGTAGCTGGAAATTGTTTCTTAAAAATGAACATACTATGATGACGTCACTGGTGGCAGCAGGCACCCAAATGTCCGTGCAGTGGGACAAGTGTCAACGAATTTGGGTGAAACTTAGTTTTTCACTGTTGCCGAGCTTATAATCGAGTGAGCGGTTCCGTCCATGATAGTCATAAGTTACATTGAAATACATGTCCGACAGCATGACGTCACCGCTGTTCTCATATCTGGTTCCAAAACGCCCATATGGAATTTATCGGGAAGAAATCAAATGTTAAAATTAGTCGACGTTCGTTTTTCTCAGGTTCAGTTTTTGCTCGTTTTGCTCGCTAAAACACGTGCTTGTTCGAAAAACATACTTGGAGCCAGCGTCCTTTTGAAAAAAAAAACGAACGATGATGACAGAAACGATAAAAATATGTTTTATTCACGTTCGTTCGGCTTGGATCGCTAACAAATTAACAGCACATTGTTAACGATTTTAATTTAACTCATTACTGCAGGGAGGGCTTCCTGTCGCTTGTTGCTTCCAATCGCTGTGACTGCCTAGTTTTAAAGCGTGTATTTTCATGTAGAATAGTGGCGTTATTTATAGTGATTCAAAGCTGCGTTGTTGGTGTAACCCAGGCATTAACTGCTAGAGCCAGTGAGCTGTGTGCCGGACCCCAGTGTTAATATTTGTGTAGAGGCAGGTCTGAGTCCTGCGATCGTGCGCGGCTGCTCTGCACTGCTCAGTGCTCAACCTTTCCGCCTAACCGGGCCGCTACGTTGTCTGACAGCTCGCTGTTTTGTGCGAGAGCGTCTCTCCGTTCTGGGTCGGTCGGCTGTTCTCGTCTGTTGGCTTGGTGCAGTAAAGGGCGCCAGGTCACTGGCTATGGGCTGTGCCTGTACCTGCTGCATGTGTAAGGGGCGCCAGCCGTGACCCCGCCGGGGCCAACACTGGACTGCCGCGGCCCGCCGAGCCCAGACGGCGACAAATACAATTACCGGTACTCAATGCGGCTACTATCTGACTGGAGAGAGTGAAACAGAATGAACACTGTATTAAACCGGTGGTACCGTGGAGCGAGCAGACCACCCGTCTGGTAAAACTGGCAACTCTCGCCGGCAGCGAGCCACAGACATCAACAGGCAACAAACGCCCGGGAAAAAGGCGCCGAGCACCAACACACATAGAACCTACATACAGCCTCCAATATCAGGTAACGTGGCGAATGTGTAATTAAAACCCATCTCATCGCTCAGCTCAGCGTCCAACTGTTAATTGCAGCTCATGTTAATAAATAGTGAACACCGAGTTGTTTATATCTGAATATCGATAACCGACGCAGCTGATTTAAAAAGTCCCGCAATATGAACGATATAGGGATAGGCTGCCATTACATACAAACCCTCGCTTTGCCAACCAGCAGCGCACTTGGTTTAGGTACCCATGAACTGTCGATTCCCGACATCACTCCTCAGTGGGTCGGTGAAGGCTCGACTGGCGTTCTGTTCCGGTGGCGTGAGCCGTCCGTCTAATAACGGTCGGCAGGGTGGGAGTTCGGCAGTCCCAGACCCTTCGGCGCGGCACGAGCTCAGAAGTCGGACGGAGGCTGCTCACGTGCCGCCCGACAGTCCCGATTGTGCCAGCCGCACCACCCGCTCCGATGACACTGCAATGGAGAGACGCCGGTAAAACACACGGCATGTGGGCAGATCACACCACGCGCTCAGGCGACAATAAAGCGGCACACAGCTCCGGTCTAATGAAACTGGTGGAACGCATCGATACCAGCCCTCACACCATTTGGATCAACGATGCAAGCTGATTGCGCGAATACGACCTTCGTGATGGTTCATTTTAGTTGATTAATATTTCGTTGTTATTTCGGGGACGCCCAGACTGCATGGGAACCGGCGATCTGCCTCACTATTAAAGTGACCATCCCACCTTAACATTAGTTTTGAGTTGAGATAGCCAAATTGGTGGCCATGGCCTGAAAATACCGGTTTGGGCACTCACAACATCGAAAAATGCTTCAATTCGGAGATATGGAATTTCAAACTTGCAGTTTTCGGATTCTAAGGGGCTAATGCATTGGTATGCCCCCTTAGAATTTGTGACGTCAGCGGAGATCTAACGATTTTTAAATCTTTTACTAAAACGTTCGGTAGCACGCGGTGGTATATGCTGCTTTGCGCGCAGCAAATGCCGCACTTTCAAATACAGTCGCTAGAAACAGCGGAGATCCCAAAAAGTAAACAAAAGTAAAATTCTAATATCTTGAAAACCGGTGAATATTTTTCGATGAAATTTGGTAGATATTCGTGTTCGCTCTTTCTGAACCGAGCGACATCACTTTCATACCAATTCATGAACTTTTTTGAAGGTGGGAGGGTCCCTTTAATGTTCCCGTCCTCACGGTTCACGTTCCCCATCCGTTCCCGTCCTCACCGGTCATGTCGTCCTCGAGGAACTGGCGCAGGTCGTCGGTGGTGTTGGTGGTCATGAAGTGGACCTCCTCCGGCGTCAGAGGCTCGCCCAGCTTCTTCAGCGCAGACAAGATCTCCAGCTGAGGGGGAGGGAGCGCGACGACGGGCCATCAGCGGTTAGACGGCGAGCAATAAACGAGAATGTGAAGAACGATCCCACAAAATAGATTTTACATTGCAGACCTGATTGATTGATTAAAGACCTCACATTGATTGTAGACCAGAGTGGCGTCATCGAATGTCATAAATCGATCATCATCAAAATCAGCTCGAATGGCGCCAGCTGCTCTGAAGTTACGGTGGCCACACTCCCGGTGGCTGCACGGGACGGGTGCGTCGGCTCACCCTCTGCTGGCTGAAGCTCTCCTCGGCCAGGTGGCCGAGCCGGTGGTCCCTCTCGAGCTGGGACAGCCGCTGACGGAGACCCTCCGGCTGGCGGCGCGCGAACAGGCCGATTATCTCCGGCGTGCGGAACGCCTCCGTTATGGCTGCCTGGATCGCCTGTGGGAACAAAATTGAGATGTAATGGAATCAGGTTTTCTTCGCAATATTTAAAGCTCTTTGGAACTGATAATAATCCAGGATCCATGATATGATCTATGTGAACACAACAATTTAAATGCACGATAACATTAAAATACCTTCATATGGTAGAATCGTCCCAACTTACCAGTTGTGTGGCTCCAAACTGGTCAACCAGAGACAGATCTCCCTCACTGAACTTGCTCAGTCTCTGCTGGAACTCCTTCAGCTGCTCTATGGTGTCCTGTCTGGTTTCATTGTATTCATCTGCATCAAGGTCATCCCTGAAGGTGATCATATAGGGAGCAATCAGTTGATTGAAGAAAACAAACAGGCATTGTGTAATTCACACAAACACATTACTTATCATTGTAATTGCAGTCCAGATCAATAATCACCGGCAAAATAAATGCTACAGAAAAGTTATAAGCATCCAGTTGAATAGGTACCAACCTACCTAATAAATTAACTCACTGACACATTGTGTGGTTTTGTACAAAACTGATTTCGCATAGTAATAACTACTCACTTTGAATCCTCCAAGTCCTGCAGCTGAGACATCAATCTGTCAAGCTGATCTGTCAGATTCTTTTGGAGTTTCTCAGTCTCACTAACCCCACGAGTAGCCATTCTGCTCTCTCAGAACTTGAAGTACTGACACTGAGCCTTGGGATCAGTTTTGGTTTTATCTGCAAACAATGCCATTTGTTAGGTGACCATTCAGGGCAGGATCCCTGCAGGTGTATTTCACAATTACAACTACAATCTCCAATGTATTACCAAAAACAAATAATACAAAGCAAGAATTAATAACAAATAATAAACACAACACAGACTGAGCTATGCTTGACACCAGGAACTTGCCAAGATCGGGTCCCACAGGCCTCACAGCCTAAAAAATCCTGTTACCGTAAGGTAGGTAATAACCCACAACATCCTACATTCTACAGGCTACAAGAATTAGAAATAATGCTATTAAAAAGTGTCTTCAAAAGATCACCTCAATTTGTGTTGCGATCTCCAAAATGTGCGGCCTCCCCCCTCATCGAGTGGAATCTGAAAACAGGGCGCCGGCCGCCGGAGTGCTTTTTAGTCATGTAATTATTGGGATATTCTTCCTCTTGGTGCCTTTAACAGCTTAATTGTCACGTGAATGGGTGAAGCAAATTTCAAGATTCTTGTTCAAATTGCCCCATGGGCACCCTGTTCAGATTCCACCCCTAATAGGCAATAGCCACCCTTCTCACCTGGCTTAAAGACACCTGAACAGTACCTACTTACTACTACTATGAAATATTGGTATAAATTTTCATAGCATCAAGAAAAAAATGTTATCACTGGTATAAATGCAATAATGCAGTGAAAATGAAATATCAGGCAGCTTGAACTGTCTGGCTGGCCTGCATCATAACGTCTCATTAATTATGTTAATAAATAAACATTGATGGCCTTGGCATCCACTACATTAATAAAGTGGATACAAGGGAATTATATGCACAGGCTTAAGTTCCCTTCTTACCTTTTTCTGAATAAAAATGGACAAAACAGTTCTAAGCAATACAACTTTTGGGCATCCTTCTCGGAGACAAGAACGCCGCAAATGCGCACTAAATGCCTAAAAATAATACTGCCAAATATTATGACAGCAAGGATTTCCTTCGCTTCCTTCCACAATGTATGGTTCTCAGGAATGCCCAAAGGGCAACGTCTCCTGATTGCACCAGCCGCTACTGGCGACAGTCATACGAGTGTAAATGATTCCTTGCTATCCATAGCGCGTGTGTGGCGCCTCTGTCTTATCGAAAATTGCCCTAAAGCCAAAAACGAAAACTGAAAGCGGCAGGTCCTCCCACTTCGGCAATGCTCGCTCTTCATTGTCCGGTTCCATATTCAGCCCGGCATCTTTCCTTTATCGCCGGTTTCGGGTGAAACATGAAAGGACAATGATATAAATGTATATTGACAAATGCTGATGGCGGCAGCCCGATCTGCCACGGCGACACGGACGTCTCTGCAGTCCTGAACTTGAAGAGAAACCGGCGGACGACTGTCTCGGGAACAACCAAGAAGCACGGGCCAGAGCACTTCGGTACCGCACTACTTCTTCTTGAAAAACGACGCGATGCTCTTGGTTCCGATGGCTGACTTGGCCAGCGCCTTCTGTTTGGCGTTTTTAGGAGCCAGAACCTACAAAAACAAATGTACGGTTCGGATCATGCCAGTGCGAGGACTCGCAACAAGACGCCAGTGAAATCAAGCAAACGAACTAAGGAAAACAAAACTCAACGGAGAAAGAACAAGCAACCATGCGTACAAATGTCAGATCACTCTGCGACAGCGGCCTTTCAACTCGCTCTCTCCGCCCTCGCCTACCTTTTTGGCGTTGCTGGCAGGCTGCGAGTAGTCCTCGAGGGGGGCGGCGGGTGCTGCGGCGCCGCGCGCCCTCTTTGCCGGCGGCTCGGCGGCCGGCTGGCTGCGTTTGGGCCGCTCGTCGGGCAGCTGGAGGCGGCAACGGAGCGCTGCGCTCAGCTCGCTGCTCAGGTACTCGGAGGTCAGTCCCCAGGCGAACCGCAGGTACACGGCTAAGTGGAGGGTGAACGGACCGGTCAGAGGGGACGGAGGTCCGGGTGGGGAGGGCACAGCACGGCAGCGACAGGGCGGGACACAGACCAGTACTTCACGGCGGACCGCGGAACAACTACATAGTCCGACCAATAAGCAAGTTGTTACGGTCCATCATTTTGCTTCGTCGATCAGTATCACCGGAAATATAAATGTCCGTCTCGGCAGTCGGCAAAGCTATTATTTTCAGCACCGATAATCCAGTGCTGAAGTTACGCACTACCGGGACTTGGCCCAAGCCTACCAATGCACGTCGATTTTATGCATTGTCGGTCGTTCAATGGGAATCCCATTGACGATCTTGGTAAACAAACAAATATAAGACAAAAATTTAACAGCTAACACCGTTTAGCACTAAATCAATAGCTTTGTAGTAAAGCACTTATTACCTTTGTCGACCTCCTCTTCTCGCACTTTGACGAAGTTGTCCGCCTTGCCGCTGGTGCCGTGCAGACGCTTGGCTTCCAGAACTGCCGCAAGGCGGCGGGTGCGTCGTTCGAGCCACGCTACGGCTCGCTCCTCGTTGTATTTGTATGCGTTGAGTTCGCTGTCTCCTAGAAATTATTCAAACATATTTGTTAGTACAGCTGATTCTGAATGAATACTACCGTCACGGTTGCACTCTGTATATATTCGGGAATGAAAAAAGCAAATGTATCGTATCCGTCCCGTCTGGGGGACCACAACACACCAGTCCACACGGCAGCACGGGAACGCACCCTTTCTGTCGGCGATGAGCTCCAGACGGTCTGATCCGACCGAGTCAGCCAGTCGGACCGTGTCGGGAAACTGGTGGTCCGAGAGGAGCTGGTCCAACTGCTGGGCGTACCGGCTCTGTCGGAGAGACACCGTCAGCGTCCGGTCATATACAGACAGGATCCGTGACACGTCAGATAATAAACAAACACACAACAGGCACTGAGATCGTACTTATGACACAGTGGAAACATTGCGAAACACAACAATACAATTGCATACATTTGAAGGCATGAGCGCACTTAAATGCGCAAAGCTGCAATCCTTCCAGTTCCGTGTGTTTCTTTTACAATGAAAGATACACGACGGGAGTCGTCACCGGATTCCGAGAACCTGGCGGCCAACAGTCCAGCCCTCCCCTCCCCCTGGGAGTAGCCGGCGCCCAGTGCAGGGCGGCTCTAACCTGCTGCATATAGACGAGGACGATGTAGAGAGGATCAAGCGGCGAGCACACGTGGATATGGCCGTCCGTCTCCACCGCAGAGCCGACAAACCAGGAACTGAAACGTGTGGGTGGTGAGCAGCACGTCACTCTGCTGCAGCAATGTGTTAGCCTTCAGCAGCTTCTGTAATCTTCAACTGCTTTTGTAGGGCACTGTAACTCACCCCTGTGGCAGGGAAACCTATTCAGTGCCACACTCACCGGGGACTGTCATCAAATGTCTGGACCTCCAGCAACTCTTTGGAGTCTGCATCTAAAAGAAATGCAGCTGCTTGACCAGTCTTCGGATGGCGTAGTCGGAGTGCATCCAGTTGCCTGTCTTCAGATCCTGTCACAGTGGCATTATCTGCAATCAGCATCAAGCGTGTTATCATGTTAGTCACCTAAAATCAGTGGGTCGCCTAAAATAAAATAAAACATGAATAAATCTGATATTCTGATACTCTGGTTATGTTGTGCACTGATCTGTCACAGTGACTATAATTGTGACATGTGTTGATGTGCTCACATCCTCATCCTGGCTGAAGGAAAGATGCATTGTGATACTGCTGAGCTGAATGATTTTGATTCGTGTAGTAGGTATGTAGCACAAGTTGGTATTCTCTTAGCAGACGTCACCCGAGCTGCCATATCCAGTTAGGTAGGTTGGTAGGTTGTAGGTTGTTGTTGTTGTTCTTCCCCTGGGACCTCCTTACGGAGGACCATAGCCGAGAGGCTCCCTATGGCGAAGGTAGCCGGCCTCCAAGGCAGCCACCAGGTCGGCGTCCCGCAGCCGCGACGGGTCGCCGTGAATGCTGCCAGTTAGCCGCAGGCGGGCGCCAGCGAGGGCCGGGCAGCGGAGCAACACGTGCTCCGGCACGTCCGCCTCTTCCCGGCACACGGCGCAGAGCGCCGTGGGGCACCGCTTATAGGGGCACTGCAGGCATGCCACGGAGGGGTGGCGGCCGATCCGGTGCAGGTATTGGAGCGAGCGGCCCCAGTGGCCCGCCCTCAACTGGTGCACCGAGATGGCGGCCTCTCGGTCCTCTCCGGGGATGGGGAGCGGCAGGGTGCTCCCGAAGATAGACTTGAAAAAGGAGTCGGGCCAGTTTTCGCGCCACTGACGTGTGGCCGTCCGATAAACTGCCCGTGTCAGGGACCGAGCGTCCGAGGGCACGGCGTCCTGGGGCAGGGTGGCCGCTTGCTTGGCCAGGGCGTCAGCGCGCTCGTTCTCCGCCAGCCCGCAGTGAGCAGGGACCCACTGCAGTCACCTGCCGGCGCTCGGCAATGTCCAGCAGCGTCCTCCAGATCGCCGCGCCAATAGTGGAGGTCTGGGCGGCCGCTCCCGCGCTGAGGAGGCTGAGGAGGTTGTAGGTTGGGTTGTAGGTTGGTAGGTTGTAGGTAAGGTTAGGTCAGGTTAGATTATGTTTCGTTATATACCTATTTAACCGTGAAAAGACAATTGTTGCGCACGTGAGACGTAGATATGGCAGCTCGGGTGACGTCTGCTAAGAGAGTACCCACAAGTTGATACGATGTCAAATCTGGTCCCTGGATTTGGATTATCAATAAATACATAATGAAGTCTTAGGCTAATAGCTAGCCTTAGTCACTAATTTACCTTTGGGGTTTATGCCCGACTGGAAAAAATGCCTCCACTACGCTGAAGTTCTCGGCGGAGGTGATGCGCCGAAATTTCGGCGCAAGGGTTTATGCGCCGAAATTATTTTACCAAGCCATGCTTCATGCGCCGAAAATTTTCAAGGCTTACTGATGGCTGCAGGCTGTAGCCACGCACTTTTCGTCGAGGGGGGCGGGGGGGGGGGCTGGCGTGTATGTGTGGCTGTCTTCCAGTGACTACTGTCTACAGACGGTTGTTGGCACGGTCGACGGGATCGGGCAGACAATAGACATCAGCAGGCCATGCGGGACCGAGCACCAGCGTTCGCTATCACAAAATCTCCTGACTCACAAACTCACTGGCATGTTCCATAACGTAACCTTTATTTTGTTGCCCGGCTCTGATCAGCAGTATGTGCCCAGCCGGTGACTGACGCCTGACGGGGCCTTCAACAGGCGTGGTGCAAGCACGGCCGATGGGATCGGGCAGATACCAGGCCACGCGGGACCGATTGCCAGCGTCCGCTCGCAAACCACACGCCGGAAATACAGGAATCACAACGGTCAATACGCAAACGATAGCATACGTTATCTGAACTAGGGGATCCGACAATCCATAACCTCACTCGATCGGTGAACTGTTCCCGCCGTGGGAGAGTCACAATCAGGTTCACTGAACATGACTTAAATACCCTGAGACGAACACGAGACAAGATAAGTGATATTTAAGACGTTTAACTCCCAAGACATTTAACCCTCGCCGGCCGAGGGGGGTTGGTGCCACCCCTGACGGGTTTTTCGCGACTGCTCCGGAGCCGTTTGCGATAGAGAGATAGAGAAAACCGTCGATTTACGCCGAAGTACGCCGAAAATTTCGACGCAAGCCGTCGATTTACGCCGAAGTACGCCGAAAAATTTCGGCGCAAACGCCCAACTACGCTCGAGTTCTCGACGAAAGCGTGCATTTTTTCCAGTCGGGGGTTTATGGGGCCCCAGTTGAGATAAGTGCCTACGTAAAAACGAACATCTCAATCTGTATTCTATTGCAATTGCAACAACAAACACAAACCTTTGATGATGAATATCTTGTGCTTGTTATCTCCCATGTTTCAGTTCAAATACAAGCTGAAGGACCTCAACCTATGAACTCACTGCCAAAACAAGATCTTCAACTCACTTCAAATATGTTTTAGGGCCTTGCTTCAACTGAAGAAGATCACAAAAGACAAAATGCAAGGCCCTATATGGGCTCTCTCGCCTTCCTATATTGATATTTGATATGTATCTCAGAGGCTCCCGCTGTATTCCAAGGCCCTCTAACCTTTATTCAGTTCTCTATATACCGTGCTTTATTCCAAGGCTTTATTCTGCTCCCGCCAAGACTCTATCTATTCACGTGTTTACCTTGCGGCTTCGGAACTTTAAGTGCTTTTGATGACGTAACAAACATAAATTAGGTTCTACTGCTCGGTTTGTACCACATATATATATATACGCTTATAATGAATTGATAAATAAATTATAAATATAAATTTCAAATCGGTAAGAAACACAATTCCAACTCCTTTTCTTGGAAAAAACGCAATTTAAGTAACCAATACAAATATATCACTGCTTGAACGGCGCATATGCGACAAATATAGGCAGGCGCGCACACAGGATTTTTGAATGGGGGGGGGGGGCACGACCTTCGAACTGGGCCCCCCATGCCGAAGGGCACCCCCCCCCCCAAAAAAAAATACGGCCCATGGGGTTATATTTCGGTTGGTTTGAGGCTCGAGCTTTTGTCAATGCATGGTAAAACAATTATTTCGGAACCAGCTTAATTTTCAAAACATTTATATTTTTACGCTAGCAGGTTTTTTTCTCAAATGCGACTGAGAGCCGGTACATAGGTATACCTAATCATCTAATTTATTACGTAAAGTAAAACATTTCATTAATAAACATGGTTGCAAGTCCCTCAGAAATCAGCCCCGGGCAGCGACTATAACTGCCGGCCGGCCGACCGGCCCCGGGTGGCTGGAAGCAGGCGGGCCGGTCATGGCCTTGGGCCGGTCACTGTTTGGCCCGGATGTGTAGGAGCGGTAGCAACACTCCTTTTTCACGTATATTCGCATATTTTTTTAGGCACATCGACATGAAATGTCATTAGGTATCTGATACGATGCGGGATCACAGACTAGAGATCCAGCTTATAACTTATATTTAATGTTTAACCGATGAATCAAATCAACAGGACTATGTACGATGCATGTCGGACACGTACCCAGAATTTCGCCCAAGAGGGGGTCACCTGCTGGTCACCTGACCCCGGGCCCGCGAGTCACCCAGGGGTCAGCTCAGGCAAGGATGTATCCAGGACCTTTCGATGGGAGGAGGGAGGCACGGTGGGTCCAGTCTCAGTGGCAGACGGGTCTCTTTAAAACGGTCTTTGCATGAGAAAATGTGGAAAATTGGCAAGTAAAAGTATTATTTATGCCCGAGGAGTGTGCCTAATGTACACTAATGCCTAATGTACATGGTATTTTACGAGCGAGCGAAGCGAGCGAGCTCCTCAGAGTCACCGGTGTGTGGCGCGCTCAGAGGTGCCAGTGAAAGGCCGTCAGATGCGCTGGTGTTTGGTCCTCACAGGCGCCGTTGCGGGGTCTTAGGGCTTAGAGACACTGGTGGGGCCATCATTGGCATGTGTGTGGCCCTGCAAAATGGCCTGCAAGTGGAAAGTGGCCCTTCATAGGCTGGCAAGGACACTCAGAGGCTAGTAAGAGGCCCTCAGAGTCACTGGTACGTGGCCCTCAGAGGCGCCGGTGTGGGGACTCTCAGAGCCGCCGATGTAGGCCCTTAAGATGCGTTGGTGGGGGGTCCCTTGGAGGTGGCGCGAGGGGCCTCGCAGTTGCCGTTGTGGGTGCCTTTAGAAACACTGGTGTGGGCCGTGTGTCTATCACAGACGGATGTGGAGCCATAGCAGCCAATCCCTCGTTGGCCGTTACTAGGGCCCTGAGCGGCCGGCGAGGTCTCTCAGAAACATGTCCGTGAAGTTGGCGACGTCGCCAGCGACTTTTCCAGCGACGAGCACCGATTTTAGCCAAAACCTCGTTCAAGGTCAATTGGACCATGATGATCACGAAAATCGAACCCATTCTCCCCTAAAACTTGACCTTCAAGGTCAAATTCAAGGTCAAAGGACGGGGAACTGAAAAAGTGCCAGTAAATATTGTCCGATTTTCAAAATTTTGGCACCAAAATGTAGCCCGTGCAAAGTTCTAGCCGCACATTGAAAACCATTTTCATCCAGGTCAAACTTCAAGGTCAAATTCAAGGTCAAAGGACGGGGAACTGAAAAGGTGCCAGTAAATATTGTCCGATTTTCAAAATTTTGGCACCAAAATGTAGCCCGTGCAAAGTTCTAGCCGCAAATCGAAAACAATTTTCATCAAGGTCAAACTTCAAGGTCAAAGTCAAGGTCAAATGACGGGGAACTGAAAAAGTGCCACTAAATATTGTCCGATTTTCAAAATTTTGGCACCAAAATGTAGCCCGTGCAAAGTTCTAGCCGCACATTGAAAACCATTTTCATCAAGGTCAAACTTCAAGGTCAAATTCAAGGTCAAAGGACGGGGAACTGAAAAAGTGCCACTAAATATTGTCCGATTTTCAAAATTTTGGCACCAAAATGTAGCGCTTGCAAAGTTCTAGCCGCACATCGAAAACCATTTTCATCAAGGTCAAACTTCAAGGTCAAAGTCAAGGTCAAATGACGGGGAACTGAAAAAGTGCCACTAAATATTGTCCGATTTTCAAAATTTCGGCACCAAAATGTAGCCCGTGCAAAGTTCTAGCCGCACATCGAAAACCATTTTCATCAAGGTCAAACTTCAAGGTCAAATTCAAGGTCAAAGGACGGGGAACTGAAAAAGTGCCAGTAAATAGGGGAAAGTGGGGTAAGACGGGCACCTTAACTTTGGAGCCATTTTTCGGCCGGTTAGAAACATCATAGAAACGGGAAACTGAGTGAAAACCTTTTACAGACATTTTACTTCCATTTGCCAGAAGATGAGACTTAGACCTGACTCAACAAATAAACTGCAGCTATTTTTGCAAAACCTTGCAAAAACCCATCTTACCCCACTCCATGGGGTAAGACGGTCACATGGGTAGGGCAAGACGGCCAGCTTCTTTCACCGACCAGCACAGCTCGCAGCAAATGCCCGAGATTAGCCGCATTGATACAGTCGCTCGTTGGTCTCAAGTGCTTCGGAAATGGCAGTATACGAGATTCGTGCAGAAGGCGTATACTCGTATATAGGCCCTAGTTCAGAAGCCATGTAGAGCCGTTTTTCACATTCATTATTCGAGAATAAACTGTGCCGAAGGAATATTGCTAACATGTCTGTGAGTATCGGAATCGAACATATTCTTATCAGAAATGCTTCTTTTTTCCTACAGCAACAAAAATATTTTTACCATTACAGACCCATCGGATTCATAGTTGCCCGTCTTACCCCAAACTCAATGTCAGAAGTTCAGCACGATTTTTCTCTGTGGACAATTTGATGCAGACAAAGCAAATCCGCGGTGAATGAACACTGGAGGCATATGAGTGTGCCACAAGTGATTGCCAGTTTTTAACTCTATAGTGCTGCACACAAAAGCTTGCACAATACATTATGAATGTTTTCAATGAAATGAGTGTTTTAAAGAAATCAAAATAAAAGATTATTGACCGAACACAAATTCACCAGACTTCAATGGCGGTGTGTAGTGGGAAAGGCTATTCTGGTCCTAATTTTTCTCGCTCGTAGCGCTATTGGTTTGGTCTGCAGAGGGGGTGCCCGTCTTACCTACCTTGACCGTCTTACCCCACTTTCCCCTATTGTCCGATTTTCAAAATTTTGGAACCAAAATGTAGCCCGTGCAAAGTTCTAGCCGCACATCGAAAACCAGTTTCATCAAGGTCAAACTTCAAGGTCAAATTCAAGGTCAAAGGACGGGAAACTTTAAAATGCTACGTCGCCAGCGACTTTTCCAGCGACGAGCACCGATTTTAGCCAAAACCTCGTCCAAGGTCAATTGGACCATGAGGATCACGAAAATCGAACCCATTCTCCCCTAAACCTTGACCTTCAAGGTCAAATTCAAGGTCAAAGGACGGGGAACTGAAAAAGTACCAGTAAATATTGTCCGATTTTCAAAATTTTGGCACCAAAATGTAGCCCGTGCAAAGTTCTAGCCGCACGTTGAAAACCATTTTCATCAAGGTCAATTTTCAAGGTCAAATTCAAGGTCAAAGGACGGGGAACTGAAAAAGTGCCAGTAAATATTGTCCGATTTTCAAAATTTTGGCACCAAAATGTAGCCCATGCAAAGTTCTAGCCGCACATCGAAAACCATTTTCATCAAGGTCAAACTTCAAGGTCAAAGTCAAGGTCAAATGACGGGGAACTGAAAAAGTGCCACTAAATATTGTCCGATTTTCAAAATTTTGGCACCAAAATGTAGCCCGTGCAAAGTTCTAGCCGCACATTGAAAACCATTTTTATCAAGGTCAAACTTCAAGGTCAAATTCAAGGTCAAAGGACGGGGAACTGAAAAAGTGCCAGTAAATATTGTCCGATTTTCAAAATTTTGGAACCAAAATGTAGCCCGTGCAAAGTTCTAGCCGCACATCGAAAACCAGTTTCATCAAGGTCAAACTTCAAGGTCAAATTCAAGGTCAAAGGACGGGAAACTTTAAAATGCTACGTCGCCAGCGACTTTTCCAGCAACGAGCACCGATTTTAGCCAAAACCTCGTCCAAGGTTAATTGGACCATGAGGATCACGAAAATCGAACCCATTCTCCCCTAAACCTTGACCTTCAAGGTCAAAATCAAGGTCAAAGGACGGGGAACTGAAAAAGTGCCAGTAAATATTGTCCGATTTTCAAAATTTTGGCACCAAAATGTAGCCCGTGCAAAGTTCTAGCCGCACATTGAAAACCATTTTCATCAAGGTCAAACTTCAAGGTCAAATTCAAGGTCAAAGGACGGGGAACTGAAAAAGTGCCAGTAAATATTGTCCGATTTTCAAAATTTTGGCACCAAAATGTAGCCCGTGCAAAGTTCTAGCCGCACATCGAAAACCATTTTCATCAAGGTCAAACTTCAAGGTCAAAGTCAAGGTCAAATGACGGGGAACTGAAAAAGTGCCACTAAATATTGTCCGATTTTCAAAATTTCGGCACCAAAATGTAGCCCGTGCAAAGTTCTAGCCGCACATCGAAAACCATTTTCATCAAGGTCAAACTTCAAGGTCAAATTCAAGGTCAAAGGACGGGGAACCGAAAAAGTGCCAGTAAATATTGTCCGATTTTCAAAATTTTGGCACCAAAATGTAGCGCTTGCAAAGTTCTAGCCGCACATCGAAAACCAGTTTCATCAAGGTCAAACT